CAAGGAAAGCTCTTTGCAGACACTCTGAACATCCTTGTTGGTGATATAGTCAGCCTAAAACCCAAATGAGCATGTATTTCAAATTGCCTAAGGAGAAGTTCCTTGAAAGTGGGGCTTGAGTCATACTGTGTATGTCATTGTGACCCTTTGCTGCACAAATCAAGCAATCTATTGTTTGGCCTAGTTCCTTCCTGCTACCCAGAATCCAGGCAAGGTATCAGTAGAGATGCTGCAAAGCTTTGCAGGCTACACCTTCTTCCTTGGATCAGAGCAGACATGTGATGGCCAGAATGCTTCTGAGGAGTGAAGAAGAAACATAGAGAGCTGCCTTAAAGCAGGTCAGACTTATTTGTCCATTTAGCCCACTGTCTACTTTGTGTTTGGCAACAGGCAGACGACCTTCCCATCACCTGCTCCCCCCCACCCAAAAAAGTAGAAATTCCAGGGGTTGAACCAGGGACCTTCTGCATGAATCTACCACTGAGCTAAGGTTGCTTCCCAAGTCTTGCTGTGCTGGAATCCCATAGGATCCTGGACCAACACTGGCCTTTATTCTCTCATGTTCTGTGTGCATGTGTTGGAATTGCCATTGCCCTCCATATGCTCTTATATCCAGACAGACCCAGGAGGAAGTGAGGTCCATAGCTTACCAGGTTGCACCACAATCTAATATTGCATGGACTTGGTTTGCTTGTTGCACAGATGGATTGCTCCTGAGTGCAGGGAGAGTGAGAAAAGCCCAGTTCTACCAATCCCAATAAAGCTTTCAGCTTTTTAGCAGCAGAGGAACCACCCAAATGGATCAGGCCAATGGTCCATCTAGCCTAGTATCTTGGTTTCCAGAGTGACAGCCAGCTGCTTCTGAGAAGCCCACAAGCAGGACAGTAGGCCAATTGCCTTCAACTGCAAATTGTCTTCAGAGGCCAGCTGCTTCTGAACCTGGAAGTTCTATTTATGTATCCTGACTAGGAGGTGTTGTCTCATTCTCTATTACAGTGTTGGCCAACGTGATGTCCTCAAGATATTTTTGGACTCACAACTCCGATCAGATTTGAGCAATGGTCCTGGTGGCTGAGGCTGAGGGGAACTGGAATCCAAAAACATTTGAAGGGCACCATGTTGGCTACCCCTCCCGTATAAGGGCAGAAGAATCAGTGTAGACACCACAGCAAAAGTAAGACACAAAAATCAAAAGCAAAGGCGGCAGCAGTTCTTCTGGCTACTTAATACCTCTTTTTGTGAAGATTTCTTCACTCCAACTTTTATTTTTAGTACAACCACTGTTAGGAAAAGCTACCCTCAGCCTCATCCTGCATTGTTATTCACTTGGAAAGCATTCTTAACAATGCTTTCTTCTGGAAATAGTTTTGCAGGGATGGCCGATAAACAACATATCTAATATATCTTGTTTTTACGGAAAATGTTTTGCTAGGCTAGGGTCTGATCTATCATAGGCTGTGTACACACATTTAAAGCATGTACACTTTTGAAGCACATTTGAAGTGTATTTCCCCTCTCAAAGAATTCTGGGTATTGTAGTTTATTAAGGGTTGTTGGGAATTGTAACTTTGTGTGGGGTAATACAGTGTCCAGAATACTTTGAGGGAAACAATGTACTTTGAATGTACTTTAAAGGTATTGTGTTTGTTCCTTCAGAGCTCTTTCATTGGCCCTTTGCTCCAAACGGCTTCCATGAAAAACCATTTCTCAATCACTTTCAGTGTGACTTTAGGTGGTTGGCTGACACTACAAAACCTGCTTACTGTCTTAAGGACTGCAATAGTGGAAAGCTATGAGCACTGGGGGGAGAAGTTTGTCCTGAGCCAGAAGTGTTTTTTTCTGCAGTAGCCACTCACATGGCTGAATACAGATGTTGATTTTCAGTGGCTGCAGTAGATATTTGCAAGACTTCTCTGGAACCAAGACTACATACATTATACGCCGTTGCTGTCAACATAGGAAAAGTTCAGTCAATGACACGGGAGGTGAAAGGGTGGAAACACTACCCACCAAAATGTTGGATGCCCTTCAATGCTTAAAGCCACCCAAGAAAGGACATTTGGTGTCCAAGCAAAGACTCTATCACACTCTTTTCTTCTCAGCCCTCAAGAAAGCCACAGACCAGTTTCCCTTTGCCTCCTGCACTCTATTATAGCTTCTTAGCCATTTAGCTGCACCCTGAGTTCCTTCAGTGGTACCTAGGCTTTTAAGTTCAAATTATGACATGCCTACTAATAAGCCTTTTTGTAATGGTTTAAGATTAATGCTTTTGATCTGTAAACAGGAAAATTCAGGGGAAGGAGATAATATGTCAAAGCTGGGACTTGAAATAGGGAACCCCTCCACCAGCTGCAGGTATGGAGGTCCCTACTATGGAGTAGGTATGGAACCCTACTCACCTTCCTTGGGTAGATTTAAGGGAAGCTGATGAAACAACATTCAGTAGTTTTATTTCCTTAGTCTGTTCTTAAAACACAATGCTACACAAAGAAAATGTTGGAGAAAGACTACCACTGATCTCCCCAGAGGTCTAAGATTTCCACAGGCAAGATCCATTAAGGTTGTTGTGGAAATAAAATTTAGGCACAACAAACAAAACACTCCACTTTTATCCTTAACCACACAAAATGTGGAAGCAGAGTTTGGCCTTTGGAACCTGCTACCAATCGTGCAAAGTATAACACAGCAGGCTCTCCAGTCTTCACGCTATGAATATGGATTAGCTGCTGCAACCATTTTTATATTATAGATCCATAACTATGAATGCACAGTAGAAAGCCTTTAGGTAAAGCTACATGCTCTGCATATAGAACAGCTGCTTCTTCATAGCACACATACGTTTGTGAGAAAAGGGAATGTGAAATAGCAATTGCTTTTGTTTGTAAAGAGTTTCTTTAGTTACAGAAATGCACAGGTGTCCTGGGAATTTAGCAAACTGCCATTCATCCCCAAATGTAGGATTTTTAACCTGCAGCCTCCTCTACCCAAAATAATGCTTTAAAAAAAGCAACCCAAAATAACTAGGATGAGATAGTTTTCCTTTCCTAAACCTCAAGGGCATCTTTTTAGCCAGCTGTGCACACTCAGAGAACAGGAAGGCCTTATTCCTAGAAACACTGCCAGGCCCATACAAGACCCACACTAGCACTGATTGACAAATAGATCTGGCAAAGTACTTAAGAACTTGCATATTTTTCAGTGTGGGGTAATCAGGAGCACCTGGGCATTTGGGCTATCAGAGAAACACTGAAAGAAAAGGACAGGTTTTTCAATCAGCCTGCATGGGGTGGGATTTTTTTTACTGGGTTTTTAATTTCCATATCACTCCAAGTCCCTTTTCACTGACTGGTTGTAGAGAATGCGTAGACATAACAAGCTCTGTGTGCTTAATCAGGCAGGCTTCTATACTAGAGACATGGCTTCCCTCCTTCTGGGGAAAAAAACACACACACACTACAGTTTGGAACCCAAAGCTTTGGCAACTATGCAGACAAGAGTAGCCTAGGAAGAGGGAAATCCATTACAAACCATGGGAAATGACAGTGCTTCTTTGTGAATACCGTATTTTTTGCTCTATAAGACTCACTTTTCCCCTCCTAAAAAGTAAGGGGAAATGTGTGTGCATCTTATGGAGCGAATGCAGGCTGCACAGCTATCCCAGAAGCCAGAACAGGAAGAGGGATTGCTGCTTTCACTGCGCAGCGATCCCTCTTGCTGTTCTGGCTTCTGAGATTCAGAATATTTTTTTTCTTGTTTTCCTCCTCCAAAAACTAGGTGCGTCTTGTGGTCTGGTGCGTTTTATAGAGGGGAAAATACGGTAAGTATATCAGCCTCTCTTTCTATATTTCCAGTTTTCTCTCTGATACATAGCGAGTCCATCCATTGAGCATCAACCTAACTGCCAGCTTATTTCGATTTCATCTATAACCTAGTCATTTGCATCCTAGGGAACAGGGAAGGAAGGTGACAAACACAGCTTGCTTGCGCCTCCCCCCCCCCTTTCAGAAAGGCTTAGTAGAAAAGAAAGACACATGCTTTGGATGGAGATCAAATTATCACTTGATGCTCTCCAAACAAAACTTAGATGTTAAAAAAAAAAAGAGAGAGGAAAAGGGATTATTGTGGTTATTACAGGCTGGAAAAGAACACCAGACAGCGCCTGAAGCAGAGAATCAGTCAAGATGCCCAGTTTTCCAAATGCTACAGCTTTGTTAAAAAAAAGACAAAGGCAAGGCAGGCTTTGCCCATCCTGGAAAACAGTGGTAACACTGCCTCTTAAGTTCAACAAAGCAGCACTCCTACAGCTGGTGGATGCAATGCAGCAAATGTTAGTTGCTTCTAAATCCCATTGAAATCAATGGAGTTTGTGCCCAGTTGAACGCTTAAAGTGAAGCCCTATACTCCATACCACTCATGGGCACTGAGGACAGCATGGAATGCCAAACAATGAGCATTTTGAATATGTAATATCTGTGCCAATTCAAATAAAAGGCCTTCCCACTGGAAGCAAAGAGTGTTTTGAAGCATAAACACAAGCAAGAAAACAGCCAACAATGTGGTGATCAGCAGTTTGCAGGGAACATCATAGACTACCTCCTTTTAAATGTCAGAGATTGGTGTACCCCACCCCCCGGTTATTTCTAGGAAAGGACGTTTTCATGAATATGTGATAAGAACCCATGTTTGGTTTTATGTGGGATTTAGTAGTTAGCATTTGAATAACTGCCCATGAGGTAAAAGCTGAGAATATTTTGTGCACAAACCCACCGGTTGTTTCGATAGTGCAGTGTGTAGGATTGGGAGTGTGTGCATGCAGGTCAACCAGTGCCATGTATTCAAACTTCTGTGCTTGATTTGCGGTCCAGGCTGTATTTTGCTTCCTTGAATGTTTCTCTTTCTCAACTTTCCCTTTCCCTTTCTGATTGCTTGTTTTGATACTGTTCTGTTCTTTTTGACCATGGTTTTCCATTTGAAGCCAAGCAGCTGAAAGTGGAGGGAAGTCACCGTCTGGCAAATTTGCTGCCATTTATTATGACTTTCGCAACTGAAAACCTTGCTTGAGCAAGGGAGAAAAACATTTGACATTTCTGAGGATCAAATTACTCTTGCCAAGGGAGAACAGTGGTTACAAAGCTACTATCCGTGACCTCTAGATTTGCATCTAGGAGGATATGAAACATTACACTGTATTTGGCGTCAGAGCTGGGGGACCTACGCTTGTGCATTTTAAACTCTGAGCTCTCTAGGATTGATTCCTTAATATTTTTTTGTTTTGTTTTATTTTATTAAGAACCCCATTGGTCTTATAAGAAACAGTAAAAAGACCCTTTGTTTATAGAAGCATTCTACCTTCTGTTTTACAGACCATTTTTTTGTTTTTTTGTTTAAATAAGAGTTGCTGTTTTTAATTCCATGTTCTTTTATTATGGAAACCCTAAAATCCTGTTCTCAGTATAAAATTCCGTCAAGGCTACCACTTCTCTATAATATGGCTCATGTAGTCCTCAGTAGGCAAGCGCCCTTGCTCTTCCGTCTCTTCCTTGGGAAGTGCCTCATTAGACCGGTGAAGAAGCCGCTCTTCCCGATTCTTTATCCTCTGCTCCATCCTCTCCAGCTGCCGCTTGTACTGGTATCGCTGTTGGAAGAGGTCTTTTGCATAGTCGTACAGCTGCATGTCCAAGTCATTAAGTTCTTCGATCCTCCTTATGGTGTTGTTGTCTACCTCTACTCCACCTGCCCTTGTGCTGTTGTACTGCATGAACGGCCTGATGAATTTCAGATTGAAAGTTCTCTCAAACAAGTACTGTGTTTTCCTCTGGAACTCTGTCAAGCCAAAAAAGGCCATGTCTCTGAGATTCTTCTTAGCGCTCTCCAGCAGTATCTGTGCTCGCTTGTTTTCTGGTATGAAGGACATATTATAGCAACCCACCAAGCTCAGGTCAGCCAACATCCTCACTTGGCGATTGTTGGCTAAGTTATATGGGCAATCCATGAATTCCTGAAGAGTACAGCCTGACCAGTCTGTGCCTTCATAGCATGATGGCAGCTCTTCGGGGGTTGGCGTCCGGCCATCACACATGTGCAAGGATGTTTTCCAGGTGGCTCCTCGTTGGACGTGCCTCCATTCGCTGAGGTAACGGGATACAGGATCTCTCAGCAGAGTGATGTAATAAAACTTCCTGTAAGAAAGAAAAATTGTATGTAAGGATTCTATACACATTGTAATATAACTGCTTGGCGCTCTGAGGCCTAGCGTATATAGAAGATGGGACAATAATCAATGAGCTGCTTTGTGTGGGAAATTGCAGTCAAATATAACTATGCATGAGTACAAGTTGGTGCATGAAGGGGTTAAGACAATAGAGTTGGATTCCTAGACTTAGCTAAGTCACCCCCCCACTTCCTGTTCCCTTGTTCTCCGTGCCATGTAAATGACCAAGAAAGATGTGTATAAGCAAGCTCCACGTTCACAGCACATGTTTGAAGTTATCTCCCTGTTTTTTTCCTACCCAAGAGCATTCTGCCTATGTTCTCACTGTTGCTGCTTAGATAAATGCATGAATTTGATGTTTGGAAAGTTTTATAAGTAAATCATTTTAAACATACTTAACAGTGTTTGGTCTGTTCATTGCAAGAGGGGTAGAAATAGATGTTTGCAAGCAGACTAAAAGGGACAAAAAGCTCTAACAAGCTGTAGAATGAGACATGTGTGGTGCTAACTGCTGCTTAACTTTTGTGAGTTTAGACTCTGCTACTGCAGCTCTCTCCTGCTGGAGGAGTAAATTTAGCCCCACATTTTGAATCCAGGAACCCAGCCAATTCTTTGGTTATTTACTCCCCAAACAGGGATTCATATTTTTCCTCCCAGAGTTTGCACATCATGCTCAGCCATAAATTATTGCTGTAAGCAACATGCTGGTGCACAATGCACAATGATGCACACTTCAGTCCTCACTCACTCATCCATGTCTCCAGTCAGGATAAAGCAAACCAGAGTGCTGGTTTAGCATAATGTATGAATCAGTGCTCATGGTTTGCTTCTTCCAGACAATCTATGTGTAGAAAGTCAAGAATAAGCTTTGGTTTCCAATTATAATGGTTTGCACAATGCTTAATGTGAAGCAGCATGCACCAGCAGACTGCAGCTTCATAGAAAACCATAGTTTATTTTGAACGATAGCTTACCATGAAGTGCAAAACAGACCAATATCTAAATGCAGTTGCAATTGGTCTCCTCTTTCTCATAAGAATCTCTTTGATAAACACACTTATGTACAAAAGGATTACATTCCCCTAATCAGAAATCATCTCCGTCCCCCCCCCAAATTCAGGAATGCTTCATTGTATTTGTTTCCAGCAACATACTGCAATGTCAGAATAAATAAATGGAATTCAAATGATTTACCACCCTCATATAGCTTGCTTGCTTTAGGGATCAACTGGCCTTTCAGACTACCATGCACCTTAAAATTCAGTCAAGAAGTTTCACTCTGGAGCACTGGTCAACAGTTACTACTTAGACAACTCGCACTTCAAACACAGAGTGCCCAGGCATAACTACAGCATTGCTGGAATCTCCCCAGGCCCTGGCCTCCTCTGCACTCTCCCTAAGTGTTTTTGCCTGGAGGGAGGATGGAGAGATGTGGGACATGGATGTGTAGAAAGAAACCTGTGGATTTGCATGGCTGGAGTGTAGCCTGGCACCACTGGCATGTGACCAATGTTGCCTGTGAAGGCTGAAAATGGTTGCTCACACTTTCTAACATGGCCAACCCCAAATCACTTTCCTCCTGACTGTGATACACCATGGCTGAAAGCATTGCTTGAGAAATGCAAACAGAAATTAACAGGCTGAATGCTGAAGTAGACTGAGACAATATTATGCTGTTTGGAAATATACTAAGGACACATGCACGTCCATCGGGCAATGAGTGCAACGTCAAGTAAAAGACTTGTGTGTGTGAATCAGGCACCACACAATTCATCACCTCAAACAGAGCTTCCTTCCCAATGACCTTGCACTTTCCGGCGGAGGCAGGTCACCAATTATCTAGTGATGTACATGGTTGTATTTAACCCTTGATGCCCAACATAAAAAATAAAATAAAAAACTGCCCTTCTTAAAACCAGCAGGTAAGTTTTCCACCCACCAAAAGTTCCAGTGTGACTTCTCTTTCATGGGCAATACCCACTGCTGCATAAGGCAGCCATTTCATTTAAAAGTGCACCAAAGACACTGGCAAAGAAATTAAACTGCAAACAATGGTATGTCCTTACTCCTTAATACCACATTGGCCCAAATATAAGCAGCACCTGAATATAAGTTGCACCTTTAAAATTGGAGGGGGGGAAGAAAAAAGAGGAAAAAAATACTGAAATATACACCGTTCCATTCCTTGCTGCTCCTGGCTGCATACTGGGCTTGGGGGGGGGGGAGCTGCACTGTGTTGCTGGCGGCCTTTCCCTTTCCTCTCTCTCTCCCTTCCTGGCCTTGGGGGAGAGGATGGGGGACTACACATGGGGCGGCTGCCGCTTTGCCGTGCTCCTGGCACTGTTTGTCCCACACTCCTGGTTGCATTCCGTAAGGTTGCGAATGTAAGCCACACTTCAACTTTTCATGGTCGTGAGGCTTATATTCAGGCCAATACGGTAACTCACGAGGGTCTTGAATGCATCGTTCCCCCTGCCCCCCAGCTGAAGTCACACTGACAGAAATTTAATTTCATTTAATGGGCATTGGAGGAAGTCCGGAGTGCATGTCTTTCAACTTCTGCTTTTGTAAGCAGAGCAAATAGGAATGTCTGCTATTCAGGCTCTCACCAAGCTAAAGATGTCGCACTGTCTAATAAGTAACCATAGAGGGTGGGTGGAGGGGGGGTCAACTTCCCATGTGTTTCTTTCTCTTCTCATTCCATTTAATAGCAGCCCATAATAATGATTCATCGTCTCTGACCAGGATGCAGCTATGATTTAAATTATCAGTGCTAAGAAACCCCTAACAGGCAGGGATAAAATATGACAACGGAAGGCACCGGAAAGTGATGACTGATGCCAGATGTTCCAGAGAGCGAGAGTGAGCGACAGATTCTAAACATTATAGCCTTTTAGTTTTAAAAAGGGTGAACTCTGGTGGATGTATCTGTCTTTAGACTAGAAGTTCCAAATATAATTTTAAGTCGTCCCCTCCTCACCCTGGCTCTTCCAAGAGGCAGTATTTTATTATTACTGCAGTCCTGCCTAGAGCTAGGGTTTTCCACCGTGAAAGGTGACCACCTGGCAGTGGATGATGATTACAATTGCACAATAATCCAAATCCTGTGCCAAGAAACCCCAGATGGATGCTAAGTAAAATATAAATCCCATACACCTATCAAATATGTGGAAATTCATTGCTTCTAAATTGGTTTGCATGACTTGCTCTGAACCAGATATGGAACTTCTGCCAGTGATCAATACATGGTGCAGGATGGGATTTGGGTTTCCCGGAAAGGGAAACACAACCATGTGTTCTAAAAGAACCAGGCAGCCACTGCAGGGCACAAAGACTCTGGTCCTAGCTTTTTATTGACATTACCTTAGCATGTTTTCCTCACCCTTGCACGGGGCTTCCACTGATGGGGTTTGTTATGTGAATCACACCCAAAGCGATCTACTACTGAGTAGAAATGTACAGGATTGTACTATTTCTATACTGTATGCTAATCCTTCCTATTCCATAGCTGTGGGTATGGAATAGGAAGTGGGTGTATTGGCAGGGCTGGTCTCTGCCCTTCATGGTGCTGATCTTTCAGATGCGACCACTGAACTGGCTCCCCATATCTTATGCACTACAGGAGGACATGAAGACTGGTTATTTAGGATGTTTTCAGCACCAGGTTAATAATAATAATAATAATAATAATAATAATAATAATAATAATAATACCCCACCCATCTGGCTGGGTTTCCCCAGCCACTCTGAGCGGCTTCCAGCAAGGTTAAGCTATCCTTATTTGCTCAGCCATGTTAAAAGGGCTACGTTTGGTTTTTCTCTTTTAGTTTTTATTACTTTATTGCATGTGCTTTGATTATAATGTATTTGATGTTATTATAGGACACTGCCCTGGATCCCTTTCGGATGAAGGGTGTTTTAGATCATTATTTTCTTAATGGACAAAAAGGACAACAGATGTTTCCTCTCACACAACAACATTCATGTAGGAATAACACAGGAACATCGAAAGCTGTCTTCTATCAAGTCAAACTGCTGGTCCATCTAGCTCAGTCTTGTCAATTCTGGATGGCAGTGACTCTCCAGTGTTTCAGACAGGACATTTCCAATCGTACCTGGAGATGCTGGAGAATGAACCAGGGACATTTTGCCTGCAAAGCAGGTTATCTACCACTGAGCTATGGCTCTCTACACATTGTCTTTTGGTGGCCTGCAACCATATCCTAATGAGGCTCCATCTTGTTAAATGTTTCCACTTTAGTCCCTCATCGTTGGCAAGAGAAACTGGGACAGAAAGGGAAGCCGCATTAGGGAATTGTCAAACTCCTACTTCTATAAAACTCAAGCTTTGTTTAAACAAATATTAACAGTATATATTTCTCAGGAAAAAGACAGTCCTCCATGCCAACCTCAACTTTGCCTATATCGCAACCTATAGGGCATTGCTTTAATCCAGAGTGTTTATCCTTGGTGCTAACAGCCCGTGATAAAATGCAGGAGGGCTTATCTGGTCTAGACTTTTGCAAAAATATACCTGGGCTTTGAGTACCTAGAGAGTAAGCTTTCTTGTGTCAGCCTTTCTCTCCCCAAAAGAACTCTTGCTGCTTTGCCTAATTCATTTTTTTAGCTTCATGGAAGCAATTAAGCAAATTATTGTGCTCCTATCGATCCCTTCTCCAAGGTTATCCCTGCATGAAACACAGTGCCATTTAATGAGCCATTCACACAGGAGGTCACCAATCTGTTACAGAAAAGAAAGAGAGGATTCTCTCTTGCTTCCAGAGTTGCCACTTAGGCAGTCGGCCATTCTAATGGCTCTGAAATTTTTACTTGTTTACTTAGAATATTTTCATCACAATGATCTCAGGGTGGGTGGCAACCATATAAACATCCATAAAACTTAAGCATACATTCAAATCTTAACAGTAATTTGGAGTAATAACCACATGAATAAAATGGCAACCTCCA